CTTTGACCCTAGGTACAATGTTCCAGGAAGTCCCCAGAAAAACTTGATCAAGATTGAGATAAGGGTGGCATCAATAAATAAAAAGAGCTGCTAAGAATATTTCCATTATCTCAGCATGATTCCTTCATTAGAGTCAATGGTTCAGAGCTTTCACCGTGTACCGTCTGCTCAGACTTGACAATGGAAATTGAAAAGGAGACTCGCATAAATGCCAAAGCAGCCCCAGACTATCTGGCCCCGTGTGTGTGTGTGTGTGTGTGTGTGTGTGTGTGTGTGTGTGTACACCCACATGTGTGTGCAGATGTGCATGCACCTGTGCATGATCAGAAAATCTGGGGCCACATCTGCTTCGAGGGCATGAAGTCTCTTCACTTTGGTGCCCCGATCTGCCCTCATCTCTCCTTTTCTCCTCACACTGATCCACCAGAAAGGATGCCGAAGAGCTTCTACAGGGCACGAGTGGGGAATAACTAAAATTCTGCCTCCTTATTAGGCCCAGAGAGCTGATGAAAGCTTCAACAGCTATGGACAGAAATGTGAGTGGAAACGTTAAGTAACCAAATCCATTAGAGAACCTATCAGAAGCGAATCCCTTTATGAATGGCTAATCAATATAATCACACTAATTTAACTCAGTGTGCTGATAACCAGTTCTGAGCAGAATAGCTGTAGCTGCTTTACCTCCTCTTTCTCCTCCTTCCTCTTTTTCTTATTTTTTCCTCTCTTTTTGGTGTTTTGAGAGAACCTTTGTGGAGCTCTTCTCCTGCACTTTAAAATATCCCATCCCCTACCAAATATTCATTGTAGGGGAAAAATTTAATACTGATTTTACATCTCCATATGAATTTATATAAACATGCTGCATCCTCCCAGGACCACCAGTTATGAGGAAAAAATGTGGTGAGTTTTTTTTCCCCTTACAAATGGAAATTCTAGGCTTGTGGTAGATTATATGGTAGGAAAATTCCAAGCTTGAGCCCCTTTAAAGATTTCCACATAACTGAGTGACAGACATTTTCTACTTAACTAACAAGAAAATGCTTTCATCCAACACCTAAGCAAATTCTGTCTTATAAATATTGTCATAACCAAAACAAACAAACAAAAAACAGTAATCTAGGCAATGAGCACACAAAATGACCAAGCAGATGACTTGAAAATAATTTAAATAGCCTTGCTGCTCTTTCTGACTGTCTGAAGTTTCAGTAATCCAGAAGGTTAAATCCAGTTGTTTCAGAAAAATAGGCTTTTATTCTAGCTGCTAAGAGGCTGGTATGGGAGCTGATTGCTTCGGATAATGGTGATCGTCAGAGTGTTAAGGTACGATAGGCCACTTAGGCTCAGCTGCTGGGGGATGCCTTTCCTGTGTCAGGCATAGTGCTAGAGAGTTTGTGAGTTCTGATTCCTAGGAGGTGGCTTTTAAAGGCACTATTCTTCCACGTAAGGAATTATTTATTTGTCATCTTGTGGCCTTTGGAATCCCCGTGGCAAGCTGTCACAGATTATGAGATAGGTAACATTAAAGAACATAGCTGTGTTCTCCCTTCCTCTCATTTTGCAGATGAGAAAATAAAGTTTTAGGTAACACAGAATAGCACATTCCACATCTCATTTGTGCACACTGGGAATGTGTGACCCATGCGACAGCCACGGCAGACTGAGCCTGCCTTCCCCACCTCTGCGCAGGACCAGAATCTCCAGGGAGCTGTGGACTCTTGCCCAGCATCTTCTGAGCTGGGGCCAGTCACACCTGGCAACCAGGCAGAAATGCAAAGACGGCAAGCCAGGTTGCCATCTGAACCAAGTCACAGCCTGAGGAGCAGCCTGATGAGGAGCAGCCTGATGAGGTTTCACAACACGGGGCTATGGGAGGAGGCCTGAATGTGGAGGCAGACGCTGTCTTTGACTGGTCCCCACCCGGTTACTGAAAGGATGGAAGAAAACAAGAACCTGGCCACTGCTCCTTACTCCCTACTGGCTTTTATGGTGGTGCTTTGTGGGAAAGTGTGGCTCTTCTCTCTCCTTCTTTTCCTTTCATTTCCTTCCATTTCCTTCTCCCTTTGCTCCCTCCCTTCCTTTTCTCTCCCTTCTTCTTCCTCCTCCTCCTCTTCCTTCATTCTCTTTCTCCCCACATGATCCCATGATTAGCTTATTTCATTGGTCTGTAACTTGATCCTGCTTGTTTCCTTGTATGTGGACTAGAGGATGATTTCCCTTGTCATATTTTTTGGCTCAGAGGCTAAGCTCACAGGCATCAAGACCTAGAGCTAGTTTCTTTCCTTTGTAAAAAAAGAAAAACAAACAAACTTTTGGGCCAGGGAAATAACTCAGCGGCATAACCCGTGCCTGGCAAGCACAAGGTCTTGAGTTCTAACCCCAATACCACAAACAAACAAACAAACAAACACTTTCTTTTCAAGATCATCGGTGAAAAGCCTCACACGATATTTTGGCCCTGTTTGTCCTACCACATTGCAATAATAATTTGAAAATAAATACTGATCCAGGCTTTTGAGGTTGAAGCATGACCTAAAGGCAATTTTTAAACTTTTTAGTATCAGGGCCTGCTTTAGTAGTTTGGTGAAACCTCTTTACTTAGAATAATATTTTTAGATGTATAAAACAAAATAACAACAGCAACAAAACCCCCACAGGATTACAAAGGAAGCTGTACTGATATTTATCTATAAAAATATTTTAAAATTGTAATGTGTGCTTTTTATTAACATACTAAATAACAAGTCTTAGGGCTGGGGCAGCACAAGCATCTGCTGGGTAAGTGCAGGGTCCTGAGTTCAATCCCTGGTACCACAAACAAGATCTACACTAAATAACAAGTCTTCAGAATTACCAAAGTTTATGAGACCGATAATAAACAATATTTCTCAATACCTGTAACAACTCTAATCTCATATAAAATATGTCTGCTTTTCATCATTTGCATAGTCACCAAGGTTGCTAGTAGTATTGAGGTTTGCTGCCTGTATTCAGACTGGAAAGAAATTCTAAATTTCAGTTAGAAATTAGTGTCAGCAGCAATGTTTTTCCCAGTTAAATTCATGTAGTCTACTGAGACCCACATATAGTCCACCGCTGCTGACCAAAGTAAGAACTATGGCCAAGATAAAGCAATGAGTTCTGCTCTGTGCAACTCCAGGGATGGACAGGACAGGACAACTTGCAGGTGGTTCAAGCTTTGAGCATTTATAATTACTTCAGGGTTTTGTGAAGCATTCCTTTACAATCTACCCGCTTGTTTTACAAAGTTCCCAAAGTATAACCTCCTCTTCGCAGAGCATTGTTCCCCAAGTACATGCTGGGATTATATCAGGAAATCAACTTGCGCACTTGACGGAGATGAAACAATTGCAAATAAATATTCTGTGACTTTAGAGGATTTGGAAGCCCTGGCTGAGGGATATCCGCCTCCTTGGCTCCTAGATAACTTTGGTGGCAGCAGGCCCGTAGCGATGACCTTCAGTGCTGTGGACAGGACAACAGTCCTTGGGACAATGGTTCCGAATGGTACCAGGAGCTATTCTGCACCCCGGGGTCTGGAAACTGGTGCAGAGTGGAGGCTGCGGGCTGCCTCACGGTTGCTTAAAGGAAACATTTTTCCCAGGTACTGATCTAAAGACAGACTGCGGCCTACAAGGATGTTAGATCATCAGCTCCTTCTTCTTTTCTAAAAATGGAATTGAACCTGGCCTCAGTTCCTCTCTGTTACCTCCTATTACATGGCTTTCTTGGCATTGCCTTTCTTCTTTGGGGATTGTCAGTGCCAGGATTTTGCTTGCATTAATCCCATGTCTAGCCCCTCCGGTGTGGTTCAAAAACTATCATCAGGCAGCAACTGGAGATAAGAGAAGATTTAATAGTTTACCATGGAAGCAAAATCAGGGAGAGAAAGCCAAACCAATAAATAATAAAAGACTTCTTTAAGATATTATCAATAATCCTCTATGAGGAAGAGATTAAAATATAGGTAATAAAAAGAGGAAAGTTTTATTCTGTACAAAACAGACACTGTGTCATCCAGTAACAATCCCACTGAAGTTCGTTTTTACATGAAGCACATCTTGTTCTTGTGTATATAAAAGTAAAATTAGGCAGAGCTGGCCACCCCATGGTTGTTATTAATCTTAGTAGCTATTTATGAGTTCATCTCATTTACATGATCTGATTCTTGAGCTCATTTTTATGGAATTTCCTGTGATTTCCTTACCCTTTTGATAAACAAAAAGAAAACCGACAGTCCCTGGTGATTTTTTTCTTTATGGCTTTCTTACAAACCTCTCTAACACTGGTTTGCTTTTTAAGTAAAATACATGAAAAATGACTATAATCCCTTGCTTTTAGCACTCTTTTGTTAGGATAAGATACCAACACTCCTCAGTCACTTTATCTTTGAAATAGAGATGTCTCTTCATTTTAGCTCCTGTGTCCTTTCTCCACCACTGTACTTGGACTACTGGACCATCTTGTTTCAGGTAGTGCTTCCAGGTGGGGAACAGACCTGCTGGTGAGCCTCTGTGCAGGCTGGACAGAGTGAGGATTCCGTCCTCCCTCTCACAGGGCTCTGGGTCCCTGACTCTAGACAGCACAGGGAAACATGAGGACCCTCCTCCCTGGCCTCGATGCAGCCCCAAGTTGGCTGCAGACGTGCTGCATGTTTTTGTGTGCATTTCACACTCCACAGTGGCACTGCTGGTGTGTGTCTCAAGGCTTTCTTCCAACAGCCACCGTCTGGATCCAAACGTGATATACCGTGCACATTCAAACGTTCTCCATGAATGAGAAGGAAAGATAGCAACCACTGCCATTTCTTAGAAAGGTCCCTGTTTCAAATAGAACCAAAGGAAAACCGCAGATTTTTGTACCACAGCCAATGTCTAAATACGCTTGTTTTCTGAGTGTCTCAAATTTCCAAAGCTAAAGCCATCAGTATATAAACTTACCCCGCCCTCCACAGGCACAAAAACCAGGCCCGAGCTACTCACCGAACAGTCTGCCAGTGGGTCCCTCATGTCCAAGTGCTTTTCACTTCTGTCCTCTCACCTACCCTCCAGTGTTCGTTCGGATGTTGCAATCAGGGCTGGGTGTGTCCTGAACTTCCGGGATTCAAAGGACCTAGGATACGTCAGTCCCTGTCAGACACCAAGAAGGAAGTTTCAGCCCTGGACTTCCACCCAGTTTGTTTCCTGAAAAAGCAGAGAACAGCTTTGGGTCAAGACAGCCAGTGCAGTATGGTGAGAGGGATATCAGCCAACACTTGGAGAGCAGGACACTGTGTCCCGAAGGGCATAGTCTTGAGATGAGGGCTGGCAGCTGTGCGATGTCCTCACAGTCCCGGTGCCCAACTTAGCGAGGGTCTCACGGTCTCTCAACTTGCTGTATACCGTATCTCATGCTTTTTCTGCTTTTCATGGTGCCTTTGAAATTGGCATCTCTTGCTGGTTTCCAGAAGGAATGCTGTCTTGTCCCACCATTCCATAAGGAATGCCTCTTGCAGCAAGCTTCACTGTTCAAGAAAACATGGATGGAGCACCTGCACCTCACTACTCACTGCTCCAGGGCCTTCCTGTCACACCTCTGGATGCTTGCCAAATTAAAATACATCCACCTTGCATCAGTGTCCTTCTCATAGGCTATTTAAGAGCAGCAGGATGTCCTGGCTGAATGCAGATTCACAATTAGAGTGTATTGATTCAGACTCAAGGAGGACAGAAAGAGCGCTGTTTCATTTCTCTCTTACTGCAATCACACAATGTAACAACAGAAAACCCATGATTTTGAATGACATAGAATTTATTCATCCACCGATCTGTAGTTCACTGTTGATTCTTCAGCTGTTTCCTGGACTTATTTATGCAAAAGCAGGCCACAGGCACAGCTCTATGGGTGGACCGCAGCTCGTCTGCGCTGTGCTGGGCAGGTAGCCGGACGTGGGCTGACCGTGTGCTGAGGCAATGGCCCATCAGCCAGTGGCATCGTGCTGCTGTTCCTGATGCTTGTCAGAGGAGCCTAGAGAGTGAGTAGAAGAGCATGGGTTTCCTAACTTGGAGCTGACACCACTGCACTGGCCACCACAGGCCATCCAGATTTCAGGGGGTGGAGCTGAATGCCCCATTGCAAAGGCATCTGTGCAGAGAGGCCTGAGAATCGGCATTAGTGTTCATTCAACACACTGCAGAGGTCAGTCAATATTTACTCTAGAGTGATGAGAGATAAAATAGAAAGACATAGGAGGAGGGGCTACCCTGTCTTCCTCCCCCCGCGCCACAGGCTTTGGACTTCAGCAGAGATCTAGATTAGGGTGAGACCCAAGAGGAACTAAATTCATGAGAGGATCCAGATGTAGATCCAGAAGCCACCGCCGGCCCTCTGACCTCACCTGCCACCTAACAAGCCCTGCCACAGAACCCAGGGGAGAACTCCCCTCCTGGGAGGCAGAGAGCCCAGTGCCCTGTCCAGGGTGTCCCTGGTAGCTGGCTGAGTCACCTTGGCAAGGAGGCCAGTGAGGTCAAAGTGAGTGTGTGTGTCCCAGGGCGTCCCCCAGTCCCAGCCTCTAGGAATGACTTTGGGAGGAGGCAGCCGAGCTGCTGTGTGAGTCACAGGAGCAAAGAGTCTTGTGGCTTTAGAATCCGTACCCCCATGACCTCCTGTTCTCTGCAAGGGGAAAACTAAACACCTGGTGAAGTGTCTCCTTAGGGGAGGTACAGCCATTTCTTTCTTTTCTGAAAAATTTAGTGCCCAAGTATATTTTTCAGCTCTCTGCCCACAAATATGTCGCTCTCCAGAGGAGTCTGGCCAACACATATTCTCAGGCTTCTTGCTGGCCCGGCCTCCAGTGTGACTTCCTGTTTAACTCCTCAGATCCCAACTTCCTCCAGTCTTTGCTCCTACTGGCCTTCCTGGCAGGGTCTCTCTGTGGAAGGAAAACCTGCAGTGGATTCTCTGCTTCTGGCCTGGAAGGAAGCTGCTCCACTGAACTCCACCTGCCCCGTACGGTGCCACCTCCCGGGGAAGCTGAGAGCGGAAGTGTGCCACTATCAATTACTCATAAAACAAATGGATGCCAGTAAGTTAGTAGGAAACAGGAGCCCAAATGTAATAGAAGCTAAGAGCAGTTTAAAATTAACTTTGTGGGGTCGGCCTGACAGCTCAGGGGACTAAAGTGCCTGCTTAGGCAGATGCAGTGGCCAGGGTTCGATCCCCAGCGTGTGGTACTGGCACCACCCCTGGGGCACGCTGAGCTGGCGATTGAGACTGGACGTGGTGGCACGCGCCTGTAATCCCAGCTCTTGGGAGGCCGAAAGCAGGAGGATCACTACAAATCCAATCTATGTAGTGAGACCATGTAGACCCTGTACTAAATACGTAAAAAATAAAATTAACTTTGTGTTAGGCAACTTCTTGTCCATGTGACAAAATATCTGCGAAAAATACTTTAAAGGAAGAACTTTTTCTTTGGTTCATGGTTTTGGAAATTTCAGTCTGTGTTTGGCTAGCTTTATTGGTCTTAGTTTTGCATCAGGGCAGAAGACAGTGGTAGAAGGAAACTGTTTAATTTCATGGCAGCTTACTTAGGGTGGGGAGAGACACCATATATAGCCCCCGAGGTCACACCCCACAGCCCGCTCTTTTCAACCCATCACCTCCCCCTGAGTTTCTGTTACCTCTCTCAGTAATGCCCTCAGACTGTAAGCCCATCAATGGAGGAAGTCATGGAACTTAGACCCCTTGTGATCGAGCCACCTTTCTAAAGTTCCACTGCTTCACTAGTGTCCTGCAACACACAAGCCTTCGGGGAAGGTCTCATGTGCAAACTGTAAGTCCTGGGAAGTTTCTACGGTAGCCCAAATAGGCCAAACAACAAAATGGAAGCAGCATAAACATCTTTAATAGGAACCCAGTTAAATATCTTATGCTATGAGCTCTTACATAGAGAATGTCCCTTGTGTTGGGTAGTGATAAGTACTTCACAAATAGAAACATTTTAAACAAACAGAAAAATCATTTGAAGCAGGTACTTGTTATTTGATCCTTACAGCACCTGTGGAAGACCAAAGTCCAGGACAGTTAAGTGGTTTACCCCAGGTCACACAGCCAGTGTGATCACAGGATTCACCTGACTTCAATGTTCCCTGTTCCCGTGCTGTGCTGTCACTTTAGACAGGGGGCTACAGAACAGCCAAAGGATGAGGTTTGTGTGTAAAAGATCTCATTATATGAACTGATGCAGAAACAGGTTGTAAAAGAACAAACAGGTTCACAAGAAACAGCTTTAAAAGAATGAGTATGATTCTAGTTTGTATCTGGAGAAAAAAAAAAAAAAAAAAGAAGAAGCTGCAGTTGGTGGCATGGGCCTGTCACCCCAGCACTCTGGAAAGCTGAAGTGGGCAGGATCTCAAGTTCGAGTCCAGCTTGGACAATTTAAGAAAACGTAAAATAAAAACTAAATAAATAAAATAAAAAATTTAGAAAGACCTTCAAAAAAAAAAAAGAAAAATGACTGAGGCTGTAGCTCAGTGTGAAGGCCCTGGGTTTACTCCTCAATACAAAGAACTAAAATCTAAGCACATATGTACGGATGACTTTCTAGCTCCTACTCTTCTGTATACTTTCCACATTTGAAACTGCTAGGTTCCATTCTAGAAATAAAAAAGAAGTAGGCAGATGCAGGGGCTGGGGGTTCGATCCCTGGCCTGCTGGGCTGGCCCTGCCCCCCCAGCACATGCTGAGACAGTGATTGAGACTGGGCATGGTGGCACGCACCTGTAATTCCAGTGCTTGGGAGGCTGAAAACCAGGAGGCTCACTACGAGTCTGATCTATGCAGTGAGACCCTCTAGACCCAATACTAAATAAATGAGAAGCAAAAAATGTTAAAGGATAGCACCTACATTCACTTTGCCTTTTTGTTTTTCAGATGAGATCTTGCTGTGTTGCCCCGATTTGCCCTTAAGCTGGTGATGCCCCAGCAGCTGGGACTGAAGGCCTGCTCCCCTTACTCAACTGTTAGCAAGGAGGGGGAATGCCGGCCTCATTGTTTCATGCCTCTAGGGTTTGTAGTAGCTGTTCCTTCTTCTGGAGGTTCTTCTACCTTTCCGCCGGCCTGGTGTACTTTCATCTGTCCCTTGAGTCCAGGGTGTGTCGTTTTGCCCAGACAGAGTACCCTCTGGTCTGTGTACTACTTCTGTGCATTACACGCTCCTTTCTCGATTTCCTCCCCATTGTGTTGAAATTATTTTCATTCTGCCTCCTGCACTACTAAACTGAGATCCTGTTAGCCAGGTGCCTGGACCGAAGTCCTCGATCAATAAATATTTGCTTTTATTTTGTTGACTTAAATACTGAGGAAAGTGACGCCTGTGGCTCATTGCTCCTCCCTGGTGAGGTGGGAGTGTTGCTTAGGGTAGCTCTGTATCCTCAGCTGTCAGGAAGCAGAGTTCAAAATCTGAGACAGAAGACAAGCACGACCTTCTGGGCAGGAACTCTAAAAAGGGAAATGGCTCAAAGCACTTGGGAGGCTGTGACACTGATTTAAAATGGACCTGACAAGCAGGAAACTGAGAAAGACTGAGCCAGAATCCCAAGAGGCCACTTAGAGAACTTTCTTGGAGATGTGTTGGTTTCAAAGATATAAACAGATGAGGAAAAGTCTTGGGACCAAGGAGAAAATCAAAGTGTGCCCTCGTGTTAAGAATAAGTTTGGGAAAGTTGCAGTCATAAGTGAATTGAGTTCTGAAAACTTTGCTAAGAGGATGTGGACCTGTTCAGAGTGAGATGGACATAAGGGGACAGGACAGGACAAAGCTTTGCGGGGCAGTTGGCTTGCCCTTGCTGGCCGCAGCGCACAGCAGCAGCTGGGGTCCTGGAGGGGTGTGGTGACTGACCACAGTGGGGCCACACATCCCAAAGAGGGTGAGCCATGGGCGCTGAGCCTTGATACATCCTGGCACGACACATACTTTCCAGGCAAGCTGCTGCTTCTGAGTCCTGCATGGGATCTAGTCCTTGGCCTGTTGGGGCTGACACAGGGACAGGACCCTTCTCTGCAGCCTTTTGAACTCATGAGAGCAGGGACAGAGAGTACCACCTCTGACATCGCTTCCTCCAGTCACACTTCTCGGAGGAATGCACGGAATCAAATCTCCTTCTGATTCGACTGCCTTTTATTTTTAGTGTCTGCTTGCTACAGTGATTAGTTTCCTTAATTTCCACGTCTCTCCAAAGCTGAAAGATGCATCTCTGAATGCATGGACGTTTTAAAAAATAAATGAAAATGAAAAACCTTTCCCCAGAGCCTCAGGACAGAACAATAAAATCTATCCAAAGTGGCAGCACGAATGAGTATTTTAAATGGTTTTGGAAGCGACATGGAGACACTGACACTGTCACTGCAAGGAGCCAGCTCATTTGTTGCATTGAAGGTAACTTTTACATTCTAATGATGTTGTGACTTTTAAAGTTGCATAAAATAAGCCTTGCACTTCCTACCCCTTCATAAAAATTATCTCATTTTAAGATCTGGACCCATGTAGTCCAAATTAACTATCTATCTATCTATCTATCTATCTATCTATCTATCTATCATCTATCTATGTATCTATCATCTATCTATCATCTATCTATCTATCATCTATCTATCTATCTATCTATCTATCTATCTATCTATCTATCTATCTTGTATGCAGTACACTCAGGTTTCACATTCATTATGCATTCCCAAATCTCATCTTAATTTAAAAACTCCAGGTGTTAATGAAGAAAGTGGATAAAATCAAACAGATTAATTTACATAAAACAAATTAGAGTAAATTTAGTTTTCTTCAATAAGCCCTAGGACATAAAAACTAATGGACAAATAATGAAAGTCATTCTACAGCTGTGATCTATGGCTTTAACTTTCAAAAGAAAAGAATAAAAAATAAGGACATTTTACAAATGCAGATTTTCCTAAAT